CCTCTAAAATTACTACCACCCTAACAGGAGGAAAGATACATATCTCCCAATTTTGGAATAATAATATTAATGCTACTTTTTTTTCCAAGCTGTCTTCTTTAATTCTATTGTTCTGAATTTTAAATATTTTTTTCATCCAGATTTTAGTTGCTTTTACTGTATCCAGGTTATACATGTTTTCAAAATTGATTTTGGATTTTTGGAGTATTTCGACTTTTTGAAATTTATGCAAAATCTATTCTATATATGGAAGTAAAAAAAATACCCAGTTATGTAAATATTCAATTAACGAATAAATCTGGGTGGTCAAAAAATTTTAGATTTTAAGTAAAATAATTTTGTCTTCCATAAAAAACTATTTCGACTTTTTTCTCCGAAATTATAATTTCGGGCTTCAAAATAATTTTACGTGCAAGTATAATCCAAGTTAGTAATCTCTTCTTCTATTTTTCTCTTCTTTTGAGGTGGCATTTTATTTGTAGTATCCTTTAATTCAGGAATATATTTTCTTTTTATTAATAATATTAGTTATAAAACATTTAATTTCTTCTTTTGGAATAAGGATTTCCTTAATAATTACTTTTACATTCAAATATATCTTGATAGCATTTTCTTGATATATTTCTGCTAAAGTTTGAAAATATTTTATATTTTCTTCTCCAGGTCTTCCTCTGAATCTTAGTCTTTTTATAACTTCTTCAATTGGAGTGTTCCACAAAATTATTAATGCTTCTCTTAATAATCCTTCCCATTGTTTATAGTTTTTACAAATTTCTTCTTTATTCTCTTCTTTAAAATATCCTTCTTTTCTCATTGTTTCCATAAAGAATTTAGTTGACATTAAATTTTGATCCATTAACATTACATCTGGTTTTTCTTCATGTGCCATGCAAATATAAATTTAAGTTATCCAATTATCTCTTATCAATTTTTCCCATTCTATAGTTTCTTTTTGGAATTGTTCTCTATCTAATTCTTGTTTTCTAAATTTTTTCAGGTTTTCTCCATATTTCTTCAATCCTCCAAAAGAGTCTTCGGTAATAAAAGATTCATTCAGTACTTTTACTCTCAATCCTTTTCTTTCTAAGTATTCTTTACACTTTTTTACTAAAGT